TTAAATATAACCTACCGTAATATCCCAAGTCATGGCCCACCCCCCTGCCGCCTGGAATTCATGAAAAACTTGTTTTTCATGAATTCCGCCTGGAATTCATGTAAACGGCTTTCACTAAAGTGAAAGCCGTTTACAACTCCCTGTAACACCGAATTAGAGCGCAGCTCTTGAGGAGGGGGAGGGAAGGGTACTGGGGGGTGAAGTGACCTGGGGGGAGTCACGTGACCTTGGGGGCTCACGTGACAATGCCGATGATGTCATCAGTGACGTCACTGATGACGTCATCAGTGACGATGACGATGCGGACTCCGATGACGATGCGGATGTCGGTGACGTCATCAGTGACGTCACTGATGACGGCATCTGTGATGATGACGATGCGGATGCCCCCCGAAGTCACGTGACACCCCCAGGTCACGTGACCACCCCCAGTGGTCACGTGACTTCGGCGGGGGGGGGGGGGGGGGGGGGGGGGGGGGTCACGTGACCTCGGGGGGTCACGTGACTTCAGGGGGGTCACGTGACTTCAGGGGGGTCACGTGACTTTGGGTGTCACGTGACCTTGGGATGACCTTGGGGCCATGTGACCTTGGGATGACCTTGGTTACGCCGACGGCAACGGCGACGCCGACGCCGCTTAAGCCGGGAACGGGCCCCTAAGAGCTGCGCTCTAAAAAGTGGGGTGGGCCATGTCTCGCTGAATAAGCAGAAAAAGTTTAAAAAATTTGAAAAGAAAGGGCTTTTTTTGTGCGTACTTAGTGCGGCTGCAGAAGAGATACATTAAACTCAAAACTCGAATTAGTTTTCTTGCTTTATGCAAAAAATGCGCATGAAAGAATGTTTTACCATCGCAAAGTCCGTTGCTTGCATACGTGCCATGAACACCACCGATCGGCATACGGCGCGAACGTTTGTTCTGTGAAAGCACGTCACACTGCTATGTTCTCTCCGTTTGTTAAAACAAAAAAAAAAAAAGTCCTCAAGAAAATAGAAAAACTAACCAGGCGCATTGAACGAGCGAGCGAGCGGACCAAAGAAGCGACGAGCGATGCTGAGAAAACGGGAAAGCTGGCGATCGCGTAGGCGAATACTTTGGCGTCGGGCGCCTTGTCAATCGCAAGCTCTTGAGCAACTTTCTTGTTTAGTGCATACATTCATGCCTTCGTGCACGGCGTGCTATCAATGCGGGTTAAGACGGCGTTGCTGCGTGGCGTGGACAGCACCACGAACACTGTGCTCGAAATGGTACACTCTACAAACGTCTGTGTGCGGCATTCCAGTAAAGCTTTATTTACCCGTTGGCTTTGTCTTAAACATTGCAAAACCGCTGTCACGACGTGCCAGGGGAGGCGGGATCGCGGCGAACTTTGGCAGAAACTGACTTTGACCTTACACTCCGCGCTTATATTCCAGGATATGAGGTGTTCACTTTGCGATCCCTGAATGAGTTACTGCTTGTGTTATCTTTCCAATTTTCTTTTTTTTTGGGGGGGGTGGAACGTTTTTTTTTTGTAAGCAAAACAAACTTGCATTTCGTTAACTCCATGGTTTTCTTTTCGCACGGATACACTACGACTTCGAGGTCGCTCGCTTAGGAAATGCGTAAACAAAGAGGAGTGTCTCCCTCCTTGGTTTTACTTTGTCACGGACATCCTCCAACTGTAAGGACTGCGGCCGCGTCTTTTGGGTAGAATGATTGTTTGAGGATCGCGGAGTCAACGTTGGAGTATTTTGAAGGGGTGGGCAATGACTTGTTTTTTTTGCAAATCAATATTGGCCTAAAAAGTGGGGTGGGCGATGACTCGGGATATTAGGGTAGCTATACTTAGACTGTGGCCTCAGAAAGTCAAACACCTACATTGAGATGGAAAGTAAGACAGATTTGACATAAAATTATACCTATAAAGGAGCTCAGTCATACATAATTAAGGGAATTTATAAATCTTGCTATATAAAAATATTTTCTTGAATTAAAAAAAAACAAGCACAAATAATGAACACAGGTTGTTAGAACATCACTGCTTAACCCTTTGCATAATAGCCAGAGTTGAATTATGATTTTACTGGAATGGTAAATATCAACAATAACATTCCAGTGGAGCGCTCTACCAACTGAGCCAACCAGGAGTTAGATGTCAGTAGAGCAAACGGGCTTTAACAGCTGCCATCAGTCTAACACTTAAAACCCAGTTGCTCTACTGACGTCTAGCTCCTGGTTAGCTCAGTTGGCAGAGCGCTCGACTGGAAATAGAGAGGTCCTTGGTTCGATACCAGAACCAGGCGGATTTTGCGTCGTGCACCAGTCACCTAGCTGTGTTCGGAGATTTGTGTTTGTCCTTTGACCTTCTTGTTTCCCTTCTCCAGGAATTATTATTGTTATTCTCGTCCAGCTCACAGCACCTTTGCATTAACATCATTATCACAATTAGTTTCTTTTTTTTTTATACACCAGGCGTGCATGTTCACTATACCACTTTCAAGGTGTGTTTTTCACCTAAGCGCACAGCTGCGCTGCAGCGAAGCAAGTTGTGAGATTGCAGGGTCAGCTCCCCAGGTATGCAGAGAACAAGCCGTCTGCTTCAAGTGCAGGGGTTGCAGTGACGTCGAAATGATGCTGAGCTCCGACTGGATTTGATTGAAAGAATAGTTGGTAGCGCTCAATGCTAAATGCCTTGAGGTTTACCCACTATTTTTTTCAATGAGGCAATACACGAACTCAACTCTCCTACGTCATGCCACGGTGGTGGCGCGTCGGGCGCACTTCCGGTCTGGGGCAGTGGGCAGAAGTCGCCGTGCGAGACAAGCATTCCTGTGTTCTTTTGGAAGAAACCAGACAAAAAACCTGCCTTCTCATCAAAATGCTGCGACGGGGGCTGTACCAAGAGAGTCCGGAAAGGTTTGAAGATCAGTTTTCATGTGTTTCTGCCCCCTCAGTTCGTCCGAGAACGTGGATAGTAGCCGTGAAAAGGGCAAATTAGACGCTGTCGAGCTACGATTGCTTGTGCGGGCAACACTTTGTGGTCGCCAGATGTATTTGTTTTGTTCCAACATGAACGAGAGAAAACTGCCAAGTTGTCCGGACCACCCACGGGTTCAGTGAGTCTTCAAATTTAGACGGCCGCCTGATCGTTCGAACTTTCGTCTGCTCTTTCAAACTTGTCTGCTTTTTGTCGTCTGCTCGTAGACCAAACTTTGACCCGGTGATTGCAATAAGAAGTAATTGCAGGCCTCAAAAGTCTTAAGTAGGCTCAGTGTAAACAGCAGATACAAGATGTTTATCATTGGTACCAGTGGCCATCACCGACTTGTTATGTTTGGTCTGTTCCCGCTTCCGATTTTTCGCTCAGGCAATTAAAGTGGCAAGACATCGCTATGAGGACGTAGAATCGACAATTCCAACGCGAAAAAGAGTATGCAGACTCACACAGACGCCGACAACGTGACATTCTAATGGTTTGCTGACGCGGGACGCGGTGCTTCTTGCCCGCACTCTATTGCGCATGCGTTCGAACTGTCGTCTGCTCTTTCAAACTTGTCCGTTTTTTGTCATCAGCTCGTTTAAACGACAGCGGCCCGTAAACCAAACCATCACCGACTTGTAATGCCCGATTCCACTTGTGGTTTTCAGTATCAACTTCCACCATCTCAGCTACGGTTCTTCGCTTTTGCAGCCCGAGCGACATCGCGACTGAAAATAGAGAACAGAATCTCATCGAGGGAGTCAGGCTTTAGCGCCCATTCTGCGGCGTCCACGTGAAATGAATCGCCGCATGTCGTATTATTCACGCGAAGTTTTGCCTCGTTAATTTCGCTGAAGCCACTTAAGTAGTTAAACATTGTTAGGAGGACGTAGAATCAACAATCTCAACGCGAAAAAGAGCACGGGGACTCTCGACGCTGACAACGTAATTCAATGGTTTGTTTATGGGCGACGGCGTGCTTCTTGCCCACCATCCATCGCGCATGCGCAGCGCCGTTCGCTAGGGGCGCTCCGGTTTGTTTGTAAACATGAGTTGGTGTATAAGAGCCTGGCGTTCTGACATATTGGCCAACCCCGTGCAAGAAGCAGACAAACTTGTGCTCCGCATTGCTTCTCCATAGTGCACTAGTGCTTGAGGATAAGCACACTCAAGAGGTCTAGCCTGCCACAATCAACACTTCGAAAAGCATGAATATTGCAGTTCATTTTTAAGCGAATATCAAATAGTGCATTATTTGAAACTACTATTCAAAAATTCGAATATTCACGTAGCCCTAATCTTCACACATAGTACTTAGGCATCCGAAAAAATAACAACTGCACTTTCTTCATTTTCAGAGGCACCGCCAACAATGCAACACGCTAGAAACTTTCAGTTTCCTTTTCGAGAACAGCTCCCTTTTGGCGCAGACATGGTGCAAATTGTGCACAAATACAGTCTTTGGAGCAGCATGCAGCAGGTTATTTGTTCTGGCACAGTTAGGCACAAATGGCACAGCAGTTTCACCGCTGGATTTATTAATCAAGCGAAATTTATGCCAAAAACTGGAACGGAGAAAAACGCATTCAAAGTGCTCGAACCTCTACCTTTTCTTTAGCATCGGTGGACTGAAAATAATTTGAATAAATCCCAATGCAGTGTAAACAAACAGAACTTTCTGGGAATACTCTCTAGATGTTGGTGGATGTAAATATTGCATTTTTCAAAATTTACTTTTTTCGCACAACTTTTTTTACTGTATAGTGTCCCCCTTAGCATGAGGAACAACTGGTTGTCTCATGCCAGCATTGCATTTTAATGGCGTTCAATCTCATTACTGCCAGTTTGCAAGAAGGGAGGAAGGACAATCACTGGATCGCCTTTTTCACCTCACCGTTCAAACTTTCTTTTACCTATTTTCTTGGCAAGTACAATAGCTACAGAGAGTAGTACTGAGAACAAAGAAAGAGAAAGGAGAGCCAAGTATAGCTCCACGAGATTTGTCCAAAGTCAAAGGCCAAGGGCAAACGGGAGTCTTACTCTTGATGTTGATGTGCTTGGTGGGTTGCTCGGTGCTCCAGATAATCACTCCCGTGTCCAAACTACCAGTAGCAAGGAACTTTGAGTCGGGTGACCAGCCAATGCAGTTCACCCGGGCCGTATGGAAGCACCAGTCGAGGTTGTGCGCCAGCTGGAAACATTGCACAGCTCACTCTAACCCCCCCCCACTGGGAGTGGAAACATGGCTGCCAAGGCTATCAAGAAATGCAAAGACTCTGAGGAACTTCGCCTCCAATGGCAGCTGAGGAACCTCTTTCTGGTCCACTAAAGCAGTGCAGAAGCTAACCAACCCAAAGACACACATACTAAGAGCTTTTAGCAAAGAATTATGCAGCAATAAGTGGCTTCAGGGTCTACTATATTAGTGCTTGAAAAACACTTTGCTTAGCGGAGGGACGATCGAGGAATTTTAGTAGCTCAGGGAAACTCGCGAGGACACTTTCGGGAATCCAGGTTGAGAACCCATTAATTTGTGCAAGAAATCGAGGTACAGTTGTCTTGGACACAAGGATGAAGATGCGAGCATCGGTCCATCGGCACTGCCAGTGCCACCTTGGCAGCAGCAAATTTCTTTTGGCACATGGCGACTCTCCCCTTCATTCACAAGGTATCACTCTGTGATGCTGGCCATCAGCTGATACTCGCATGTTGACCCCCTATTACAGACTACTATGCATCTTCCAAACAAGGCAACTGTTCCCTTTTGTCTTGCGTGACACAACCACTTCCTAACTGTGCAGCATACAAACTGACATATACTGAGGCTAAGCCACTGAAAATTGCCCCCTCGCTTGCTTACCAATGACTGGCAGAAACAACAATATGCATCTTGCATTTATGCTCCACAACACTCCAAGCTAAGCAAAAATCGATATGGGCAGCCATCAGAAAATCATTTTTTTTATGGTCACAGTTACCATGTTTGCTTATTCTACTGGTCCTTGTTCTTCGCACCGTTTGTGTTTCGCCACATTTGGCTTTTCAACAGTCCTGTGTCCGCTCGAGAAGAGCATGCGCCAGTCACCCAGATAGGCTTTTCATACTTGCATACCTCATAAGAAGAGCTGACGTAGAGCCGAACCATCCGGTTTGAGTCCGACGCTGCCAGGTACTGGCCATCGGGGGAAAACCTGACATCAGTGATGGCACCCGCATGGTCCATGGTTGTCTTTTCCTCAATGTTATGTCCCTTGAGCACATATACGTGCACCTTGTGGTCCTACGTGAAGAAGCCGACAGCATCCCCTTAGTCATACATTCCCGACCACGCCATTTCCAATCTTCCGCAAAGCTCACGGGGCCGCTGCGTCAGCTCATAGGTGTCATTTGAGGACTACAGTTTTGGCTCGTTTCTTTTTCAACGCGGCCACTATTTTGAAGTTGAGCATGAAACCGACGGCTCGTTGTCATTGCCGAGTCACGGACAGGCCCGATGCCCGCTTGCAAGTGTGGCAATTCTCACAAATCCTCCCTCGACTTTTCAGACTGATGATGAAGCAAGTCGTTATACTATTTCAGTTCTGACAGCAACAATCAGCAAAAATCAACCTATGCTTCACCACAGTGACGAGCTGCTTTGACCACTTGATTTTTGATAGCTGCTAGAACTTCCTTTGTAAAGGTTTTCATTGTTAAAATAAAAAACATTTTGTATATTTACATTTTTTTTGCCACATTTTTTTCTTTAGATTTTGATTTATCCACTCTGTTTGGGCCAATTTTTAAAAACAAATTCTTTGAATAATAAAATTTTGCCTTAGAAATTAAGCCTGTTGTGATGTTTGCATCACTCAAAAGCACATTTATTTAGCACCCTTTTTATATATGGTATTGCAAACCTAAGTTTCGTCAAAAAAGAAAACAAAGTCACACAGAACAGGCATTTTTCTTACGGTCAGGAAAGAGTTAAAGGAATACTCTGCTCAAGATGAGAAATTTCCTGACAATCGGTAATCTTGCACTAAGAAGTACTAATAAACAGCTCATCATTTGTTCACCGAAAAGTTGAACTTTTCGTGCAATCTTGCTTTATCTCAAAATTTAAACCTTGCTTGCAATTAGCAACATTGACTTCATGCTATGAAGTGACACACCCCAATTTTTATTACATTTCGCAGGATAAAAGGGTACCAAAAACTACACATGTTACACAAGTCTGTTACAGGATTCGTGCAAACTTAAAAAAAAAAAAAAAAAACATTTCAAGGGTTTTCAAGGACCTTTAAGGGCCTGTAAAGATATTTTTAAGGACCCCTTAAAATACTCTATCTAATAAATTTATAATACCATCACAACTTTTTAAAATGCACTGCGAAAATTATTTATTGCACGATACCTAGGAAAAGGTGCATTTGCGAAAAAGAGGTGCTAGTGAAGGGTTCAGTAGAGCTACTGCAGCTTTTCCTTGATTTCCTGGTTAATGTTTAGGAATTCTTGTATCTTTGTTTTCGCCGTTTTCCTTAAGCTGTTCGACTTGACAATGTCTAGTCAAACAGCCTAAAGAAAGCGGCGAAAATGTAGGTGATGTCACTTGTTGCCTCTGCTTTCTCGGCGTCTGTAGCAGGGGTGGAACTCATGAAATGTACTTGGGAGCAGCCACGGGAGCAGCTGAAACTGCTGTTTTGGATCAGGCTGGGAGCAGCTAAAACTACATTCTGGAGCAAGCTAGGAGCAGCTCAAATCAGTTTTCATTGCACTTCAGCTAGTGTCTCAGATGAGCATGGGAGCAATTTCAATTGTGCTTAGCAGCACAGATGAACATGAGCGGTTAGGGACCTAGGTAGGTGGGATAACAGTGTAACAGATGCGAAAACTTGAAACTTTGCGAGCCTTAATGAGAACCAGAAAGCAAGTACCATACGTTTCTGAAGCGAGTGTCCTTGATATTTTCTGAGTGGCTTTCAGCTGCTCAAAATATAAACCAGCTCTGCTTATCGCAGAACCCACACGTGCTCGACAGAGTAATTATATATGCGAGTCATGTGACGTGCGTAAGCAACGAACGTGCGGTTGCACGGAGAAACAGGGCATTAATTTTCGAGTTTATCCTATTGCGCAACTCAATATCGCAGCAGCAGACTATAATTAGCGGAGTTATCATATTCTAAGCGATAAACAGCTCGCGTGAGAGCTGCTGGCCGGCAAGGTGTCAGATCGGACCGCGTTTCAGTTCTGTCAATTCACGATTTATCTTGCGGGAATGTGGTTCCAATTTCTAACGATGAAGTACTAAAAGGAATCTTGTGCTCATTTGTTTTCAACTGGCTGATGTCCGGATCCCGGGCCGCAGAGCCTCAGGCAATCCGACGCTTAACGACTCTACCTCACCTCGGCCGACTTGCTCAACCGCTGGTGGTTGAAGAATAACAATCCAGTCGCAGGTAGTGTAGAGCTTGGAATCCAACCCCCCCGAGTTTTTTCGCGCACTTCCGACTCAGGATACACAGCGAGATTAAAGGGAACATAGAATTGCAAGGCCGACCGAGCTAAACACGCTCATTGTTGCCAATCAAGTCTATAGAAACCGAAACCAAGACAAAATACAATCCTTTTTGGTGCACGTCTTGAGAATTGGTGCATAATGGCACCAGGTATTGGCTGTGGCACAGTTTCTGCAGCATGGCGCAGGATGGCGCAAACAAACGCCTGGCATAAGATGGCACAAATGGCGCAGCTGTTCCACCCCTCCTGTAGTCGTCGTGACCCAGCCACGACTACCGAAAGTTGGACTTCTCAGGGCATTGTGCACAATTTAAACTATGTTCACCATGTGTAGCGTAAAACAGACGGGGAATAAGCAAACCAGGAGTAGCTAATAAACAGTATGCAGAATAAGGCAAACGGGGAGCAAGATCACAAGATGGCGGATGGGCGAGACCGGATCCGGAACCACCAGGACTACTACCATTGTGGCCAGGCACTTAACAGGCAACCGCTAAATGTGTCTCAGTGTGCCATATAAAAAAAACTTCCTCGTTGAAATTTTAAAATTTATGGTAACATACACATAAAAAAAAAAATTCTAATTTAGTATTGTAAAAAAATTTCAGTTTAAAAAAAAAAAAAGGCTCTTGGGAATTCTAAGGGTTTTCAAGCAATGCTAGAAATTCCAGGGCTTTCAAGGTCTGGAAAATGCCGTTTTCAAGTTCAAGGGTTTTCAAGGCCCCATGCACACCCTGTGATGTGCTCGATTAGCTCACTAGAAATATACATCGACCAGTTCACTTTTTCATTTCCTTTATTTCACTTATTTATCCTTAAGGGCCCAGGTGGGGCATTACATAAGGGGGGGAGTAGACGAGAACTAAAATACATTTTGACACCTCAAAACGACAAAAATAGAAAAAGGAGAGAGCCAAAATAACAATAGTAAAGAACACAAAGTACTGATATGGTTTAGCTGGGAATGATTAGTGGATGTGTAAGGAAATTTCCTGGAGAAACCTTACTGGGTCAGTAATGACTACAATGTTGTCGGGAACGAAGTTCCAGATGGCTATTGCATGGAAGAAAAAGGAAGCGTTGAACGCAAGCGTTTCGCCTGCAATACGCTTGATGCATTGACTGTGATTAAGGCGTGATGATATTTTCTGTCAGGAGCAAGAAGGATGCTATGGGAGTATGGATAGTTATAGTAGAATTTATGCAATAAACATAACCGAGAATTCTATCTTCGACTGGACAGTAAGGGTAGTTCAAGAGTTTCTTAAAATTGGGTTACACTGATGTCATGAGTATAAGCTGATGCGATGAATCGTGCTGCGCGGGTTTGCATGCGTTCCAGGTTATCAGAAAGGTAAGCTTGAGAAGGGTGCCAGATGGATGACACATATTCAAGCTTTGGTCGAACTAATGTTATGTATGCAAGTTTCTTAAGGTGACTGGGCGCGGATTTCAAATTATGTCTCAGGTATTCAAGTGTGCGTGATGCCTCAGCTATAATATCAACATGTAGTACCCAAGAAAGCGATGAGGTTAAATTTACTCCTAAGTACTTATAAGAAGATAGTGTATTAAATGGGGTGCCGCCAAGTGAATATAAACATGCATCTGTAAATTTTCTCTGGGTAAACTAAACTACTTTACACTTGTCCAGGTTGAGCGGCATAAGCCATTGTTCACACCAGGTATTAATTTGTGTTAGGTCGTCCTGCAATATGAGGTGATCCGAATAATTTCTGAGTGGGCGATATATCACGCAATCATCGGCAAATAGCCTAATTTTTCGAATGAATGTCATAAGGAAGGTCGCTTATGTATATTAAGAATAGTAGTGGGGAGAGTCTTGCACCCTCGGAAACTCCTGATGCTACATTACCAAGGGGAGATTTGTGATTATTAGCCACTGTGAACCGGACTCTTGAAAGTGAGAAAATCCCGAGTCCAAGCCTTTAGATTTTGACACAAGCACAAAATCTGCCACTTACTTCCTACTTCAAATATCTGCAACAAGTTGAGTGAGAAAATGTTCGTACCGTATTTGCTCGCATAATGAATGCACTCGCATAATAAACACACCCCCACAACGAATACCAATATTTTAACTTTTTTCGTCCCTCGCATAATGAGCACACCTCCAATTCTCGGCTCCGCGAGCCTCGAACTGCGTCCAACTTAGCTAGCCACCAAGCCAATGTTCTTTTGCCGCCAAACGGTCAGGCCAAGCCAAGCCAAGCCGTTCTCGTAATGGCTGCATGTGCGTAGCTGCGGAAGGGATCAACAGTGAAACCGAGCGGGAAGCTTGGATCGAGGAATTGCTCAGCCCTGGACATTCTTTGCCTGTCGGATGCATTGATGTCAACAAACACGCCGTCGTCTGTGGTCCGCTTTTGGACAGTGCAATCGGGAAAGTGGTTAGGCCTATGAACGGTCGCTCTCCGTGCTGAGTGAGCTTCGTAGGGCACTTCTTTGACAAAAGACAAGCCGAAAGCGGCCTAAAAAGGTTCACAGTTTATAAAGCATAGTTACTACAGGCGTGCCCCCGACCAACCGTGGGTGCGCCTCCATCAGTGGAGACGTGCCACAGTACTTAGCCTTATCATATTGGCACCTAATATGATACTATTCGCACAAATGTGTAAATGCAAAAATTTTACCCCACGTTCATTATGCGAGTAAATACGGTATTTAAGCTGTATATGTCTGCTCTTGCTCTAGGGCATCCGCATGGCAAAGGTTTAGGGGAGTTTGACAACGCCAGTGGCCATAAAGCTGCACCTCATTCAGCAGAATGTTTGACCCTTTTGGAGACTCCCAGCACACTACAGCAGCTAAGAAGGTCGCCCCCACCTTGGTACCGCCAACGGCAATCTCTTGTTCCTTGGGGTGAATGGTGACAGAGCTCGCCTCGTAGTCGATGGGATGCGTCGCCACCTTCAGATCGTTCTCCAAGAGAGAAATCTGAAACAACCCACAACAGGAGCCCCACACCATAGTCATTATGTTGACAACCCCGAGAAAAGAGCACCAGCAGCTGGGAAAAGGCCGCTAACCCCTCTTTCAACCACCTCAAGACAGACAAATCTAAGTGAGCTGCGGAGGCACACTTAGCAGCCAAGTTGAGGAGGCACAATTAAGAAAAAAAGGCAGTGGTTACAAAGCCTCAACAAGGACTGAGCTTTGTTGAGGCCTCGAAAATCCCAAGCTTCTCAGCCTATCAAGATACAGTGTAGACCGCATATAACGTATGTCGCGGGAGTCGCGAAAATCCGCACTATAAGCGGTACCGCGCTATAACCAAAACATCAATTTTTCAGGCCAAAATACATGCCATGAGACAACTTACCTTTGTAAAACAATTTATTTTATGTTAAATGAAAAATAAAGCGTAGTCTGAGGAAAGTCGATCCTTATATCGCTAAACTAGTACACCTCTCTCAAGTGTCACACATTTTCAAAAAAATTGGCGAGTTTTGCCTGGCGCAGCCTTTTAACGGCGTTGCGGACGACCTGGTCTTCCACAACGCTAAGGCACTTTAACACCTCATCACTGAAGGAGTTCTGCTCACAGTGAACCTTCAGTTTCTGTAAGAATTCCAGTGCGTCTTTACTTGAAACTTCCGGCGTGCTCTCTTCGTCGTCGTCCGGCTCGTCTTCGGGTGGACTCGCCCCAGAACCTCGCACCGCTGCAACAATAGCCTCATCGGTGGTTGCTTCCTCACGGATAGGAGAGTCGTCGTCATCCTCATCTACATAGTTTTGGAACGTGTCGTTTGCAGGAACAAAGTGGTTTTTCACAAGGTCGGACCACACGTCGTTCGCTCCGATCGCCTCGTCGATCGCATCACTGCGCAGATCGGCGTCCTCCGAATTCCCGGCATCGCGCACAAACCCTGCGTTGCGAAAACACTTCTGGATGGTTGTGGCATTTACTTGCCACCACGACGCTGTGATCATGTCGATGGCGCCCCTCAAGTCCACCTTAAGGGGTTCATCTCGTTGCAACTTCAAGACGACCCTTTCGCACATGCGCTTCTTGTAGAGTGCCTTGACTGTAGCGATGACGCCCTGATCGAGAGGCTGGCTTTTAGCAGTGGTGTTTGCCGGCAGGAACTTCAAACTGACTGCGCTTAATTGTGGCTGCACATTGTGAGCGCTGCAGTTGTCCAGAATAAGGACGATACGCCGTTTTTCTGCGACCATGGCCTCATCGAAACTTTTCAGCCAACTAGCAAAGAACTCTTGGGTCATCCAGGCCTTTCCATTTGCTGTGTACACCACAGGCAGACATTCTCGCTTCTTGAAGCAACGGGGTCGTTTGTATTTCCCGATGATAAACAAGCGCCGCTTGTCGGAGCCGTCCATGTTTGCACAAAACAAAACCGTGACACGTTCCTTTGAGACTTTGCGGCCGGAACAGGGTTCACCTCTCATCGCAAGAGTGCGATCGGGAAGCATGTTGTAGCACAGCCCAGCTTCATCAGCATTATAGATGTCTTTGTCCGTGTACGCGGAAAGCATCGTCTCGAGATGAATGCGAAACCACGCCTGGATGCTGGCGTCGTCGACTTCCCCACTTTCGCCCGAGATAACTTTGCAGCTGATCCCGTGGCTATCTTTAAACCGCTGGATCCATCCGTTGAGGGGGTTGAAGCCTTCGTGTTCGAACAAATGTCCAAAAGACTTCGCTTTCGCTTGTAGCATCGGGCCACTCACTGGGACGTTTTTGGCTCGCACTTCGCGAAACCACCTAAACAAGGCTTCGTCGACGTCCTCATACTTTGACGTACGAATCCTCTTTCTTGAGAGCGACGCAGAATCTTGCTGTAGCTGCTTCCGTACCTGCTCCCGGTTCTTCCAGACAGCAGAAACCGTCGTGTCAGCGACGTTGTACTTGGCCGCGACGGAAGCTTTTCTCATGCCACTTTCGACATCTTTGACGATGCTCTGTTTAGTTTCGAGAGACAGGGCTTGTTTCTTGGCCATCCTGGGCTTGGGAGACGGAGAGATCGGGATGGACGGTCGATTTCCGCACGATATGCTTGAGGCGATCCACACGCGGTCCAAGCAGACGACGTGGTGCAAGTCTGCACTCTGCAAGAAGCGAAACTGAAACCATCCAGCTACCCAGCCCACCCAGCCTCCGTTCGGCGCGCGCGCGCGGTGCAAGCAAGGAGGTTGGTGTTGCGTCACTACAGCGAGAGGGTGAAATCGAAAGGGTGAAAGGCTTGGGAGTGGCTCGATGGAAGGCTTTCGGAGTTGAGCACGCGCGTGCGTGTGTCGGTCGCACCTCGCTACCTCGCTGCGTTGTAACTCGCGCGCAGTCATTCGTCTTCGCCGCTCTCTTTGCTTCTTCGAGCAACCTCCTTGCCAGCCTTGCACCCGCGAGTGCCGCGTGCGGCTAGCGCAGTTGGCGCCGTTATCTAGAGTCGCACAGGGAAGCATGCTCGCTGCGCCGGTCAGTCAGCGGGGCCGGCGGGCTGTTCCAGAAACCGCACTATAACCGGTATTTCCCTTTTCGCGCCTGCATTTTAAGCGGTATGTGAATACATGGAGTTCTATGGGAGGCGAGCCGGTGGTTTAAAAAAGCCGCGTTGTACCCGGTCCTGCACTATAAGCGGTTACGTTATAAGTGGTCTTAGTCCCTTTGCATTCACAAACACATCTAATGCCTCTTTTCATAAAGGCAGTAGACTAGCACTACAACAAAACCAAATCATTGATTCAAGAGTCAAGATTATGGTTAGGTTAAACTCCACAGCCAGCCTCATTTAGGTTATTAATGAAAGACTCACGTCATTTATGCCAGCCACGACGACCAAATTTCCATCAGCAGTTGCCATGCCCCTCGGCTGCGAGTCCATCTTGATGCTCAAATTCCTGGGAAGCAAACAAAAAAGCGTGCGGGATGCAAACAAAAGTCATAATTCCTGGGAATAAAAACAATGCTAGTAGTTGATCATGGCTTGGGTTGTTTACATCAATGAAGTGCACTCTTGCGCGAACCTCAGCACGTCTGCCCGTTTCCTCAACCTCGGAGCCGCACCCACCATTTTCATAGAAATACCGACCACCCATTTACGATCGCAAAAATCGGAAACCAATTGACTTCTTTACGAGCTCTCGTTCCCTACAGACATCAATCGAGGGTCGCCTAGATACGTGCGATCTTAGCCTACGCACCCGTCTAAAGTCCCAGGCAGCAGAACAGTTGTGCCTACATTTCTCCCATTTCTATGGTCCTAGGGAGACCCTGCTTCAACATTTTATTCCACGAGCGGTTGAAACAGTCCTACCTACACGAGGTTTAAACTTAGATTTTAGGCAACTTGAGCGACATTCAGCTATGCTTAAATTCAATTTGGAAAACAAATTTATTTAAGGGTGCTAAAGAGTACACCTGAGGTTCTCTAGGGCACACGCAGGTACCCAGTCTGAGAAAGTCTAGGAATATACGTTAGAAATGGGCTGGCAGGAACGAATACCAGCGGCAACTATCTAGTACACTAGGCAGTCTAGCGGAAAAACACTCACGAGTACTGGTTGGAGAGCAGGTCGATGGAGCGAACAGTGTCGTCCAGACCACACGTGTACACCGAGTCTGTCCCGGTGCACATGTCTTGCACCTGATTGGTGTGGGTGACACCGGCCACACGATCTTGGTCTCCCGACGCGGCGTCCCAGAAGCTTACACGAGGCGATAAGGAAAAGCAACGCTCCGCGCAATCTCAAACATATGCATTCACTGGCACTGGCCGGGTGAAAGGATATTGATGTAACCGTCGTGGCTGCCAGTGTACACTGTTTCCCGATTGGGGCTCACAGCCAGGGCAGTGATTGATTTGTGATGTCCCTGCAAAAGAGACAGAAAAAACTGACATCAACAGTTGTCACTTTCAATTCAAAACTGTGGCGCATTAGTTAATTGAAAACTAGCGCAATATACTAGTCTGTACTTTACCAATTGTGCCTTATTCATTAGAAAACTGGCTCGTAGAGCAAGAGACTTGTACATTGTACAGTCAAACGCCTTTATAACAAACTCCTCTACTACGGAAATGCCCGTTTAACCAAGCAAAAATAAAGTCCCGGCCAATCTCCTATGTGTTTAAGGTGCTTCCTTGACCACTAAAACGAATTCCTGTTTAACAAATATTTCTGTTTAATGAAGCAGTTGCACAGCCTCACAAAGCAAACATGGCCGGTGTTATGAATTTTCTAGATCAAAAGTAATAGATTTTACGTAAATTGTCGTTCTCAAGTGACGCGCATAGAGAACATAAATACTGCAGCAGCAGCATTTCTGTTCTCTATGCACGTCTATGATTAGCGACGACGGTTGACACTGCCGCCGTGCTCCTCCATGCTGCACTTTCTCGGTTTGGGGTTCAAATAATTTTTTAGTGTGCAACCTTGTGTCTAGATGGCACTAAGTGACTGTGTTGCAGTGTAGAAAGCCTGTACGCTGCAACGCAGTCATGTAATGCCATCTAGACACAAGGTTGCACACTAACAAATTATTTTGACCGGGCCAAAACAACGCTGCAGGCTGCGCGCGCTCGTGCATACTTTCGTTTACTTTAGTGGTGCTCACACCATTGATTGAGTGCGCACCACTCAGTCTCCCTAGTTTTTTTTTTTTTTTTTTTGACGCTTTGGTTTCTTTTTTGTTTATTTTTTGCCGAATATTCAGAGTTTATTTCTGTTAGATACCCAATTCTCCGAAATTCAAAATTTAATTTTGCAGTTTTTTTATATTTTTCAAAAATAAGATATACAGGTGTAAACATGTTCTAGATTTAAAAAAAAAAAGCATGTATTAAATAATATTTCTTCAGCTGGATTTGGCATTGGTAGCTTTGCCATTAATCTGTCCCATGACAAAACTTCCATACAAGTGTTGCTTCAATGAACGTTGATACCTTAAAATTACTAAGCTTTTGGAAGTACTCTTCATCAGTTGGAAAGTTTGTTTTTGAACTTATCCTATTCAATCATGCTACCCCACAGCTGCACGGAGTGGAATTGGAAACATTATAAAAGCTTAACTCCCCCCCCCCCCTTTTTCCCCTTCTATGAAATCTCTATGGTTCATAGCTTTCACTGTTACAAAAACACAACCCGTCCTTTCTCTAACAAGCCCAAATAATATGGTCCAAATTAGAAACCGGAACAGTGGTTTTTATTCTGACCCAGAAGTACAATGACTTGTCCTGAATGAACCTTGAAAAGTTAAACGGTAAGACGTCCCTTGTCAATCATCCGAGATTTGAAAAGGACACTGGGGTGGCATTTTCTAGTGACTATTGACCTTGTGCTTTGACCAAACTTAGTTGTATATTACCATCCATTTTTTTTTATTGTAACATTAAAATTTGGTGTTTATCGGATAAATCTGAATTACCAAAAATTTTACCGGCGGGTGTTTTCCAAATTTTTCGGACTTATCTGGAAACACTGAATCCCAAGTATAGTATATTAAAAAAGTATTTTCATGGGCAGATGCAACTCTTTATGCTGTCTTGGCATTTGTTCGTCCAACGCGCCATCCAAGTCAGGATTCAAGATTCCCAATCTTGTTCGATCCGAGTCCCAAATTGTTCCACCCTGGAGCGAGAATTTGCGGTCTAGGAAACGTGATCTGCGACTCTACCCGCAATGCCAAAATCTCGGCGAAATCAGTGGAGCCGCACAGAAAAACAGACCCCCCTGTTTGTGCCAGACAGATGTGAGAAAGGGCTCAGTCGACTCGTTTGTGCGCCTCTCCCCATCCTCGCTGGTTCGCGCGCTGCAGCTGTCGTGTGTCGAGTGCGCGGCCGATTCTGCCGTGCCACTACGGTCCATTGTAGCCAAGGTAGGGCTGCCAGTGCTACCGCACCCACTCCTACGACAGCAAAACAACCCGTTTCGAGAGCCCCCTCGGAATTACATGTGGGAGCAGAAGCCGCTGCCTGCTTCAGAAAAGCACAAATTTACACTGTCGACGAACGCATCTTCGCTGCGTGATTGGGGGTCCATGTCGGTGCTTTAGTGATTATTGCGATTCATATTATGACAAGTCTGTCAAGTTTGTTGTATGAAAGTTTGGACAGTGGCAAATCACTCTGCAGCAAGGAGCGCTCGGTGCCTTGGCTGTAGACTTTGCCGGTGGCAGTACTGGCGATACGACCGCTGGCCTGGGGTCTTTAAATTGCCTCCCAAGCAGTGGCGAGTACACAAATGCATGCAAATACAATTTTCACTCAGGGAAAAAAAAAAAAGAAAAAAAAAGAAGTGTTTAGCGAGCCCAAGATGCCTCGATTCTGCAGTGCCCCACGTGCTCCAAGCAGCGATGCACTAGTAAACTCATCCGCCGTTCCCCCTTTTGATAACTCCATTGTCAACATACGAAACCTCGTTTCTTATGTCGCTCATACTATATTTGGCGCTATACTGTTTCCTAAATCCCATCAAAAGTCGTACAGGTACATCAATATGCGATAGCACAAATTCGGTTTCGCGCGATAGATTTTTCGCGCTAAACTACTAGAACTAAGTTACCTGTACTATGAAAAATTTCGCCAGTCCCGCAAACTTTGTTATAAAGGCACTCTGCACTTCCTTGCTGTAGCACGATTAGCTCACAAATCTGAGGCTATTGCAACTAGTACCATATTTTTCGATCTATACAGCATTGTTTAATTCACACCCCCTATAAAAAGCAGTTTCCACAAAAAAAACTTGGTACTACATAGGTCGCACCTTATAATAAGTTGGACATAGTTATAAAGCGCTGCGAAGAATGGTGCACAGTTACTGCAGACGTGTTGTCAGACTTCAGACTGTCTTCGGACCACTAGAACAGCAGGCCATCACCACGTGTTCTGCCGTTACTCCTTTGTCGTAAATATTGATATGGCCTATGTCTTGCATTGTTAAAGGGGCAGGGAAACGAAATTCCAGGGCTCATTTTCTAGCTTGAATGTGTTGCATGTTGCCCCCTAACCTCAAAAACACCAGTCTTCCGATGAAAGGCACAAGAAAACTAATTTTAAAGCTAAATAAACAATCTGTCAATGTGTACCTGGTGGATGCATGCGGAGCCTATTTGGGAGGTAATCTAGCAACGTTGGGGAACTTGCCACGTAGTCGTGACGTAGCAGATTCCTTCGGAGCAGCGCCGCCCTTCGGAATTTCAACAGTTTCCTTCTTAGCTTTCCTCCTAGCTCAACTCACAAATCGCGCATTGTACCAAACGGTCCAAGAAGACGGAAAGGAAGGACTCCCCTCTTTCTCGGACCCTCGTTCGTGCAACTGGAAACAGCCGTTCTCCCCCTAGAAGATTAGCCCGTCGCTCAAAACTCGAACAAAAGTTGCTTTCCTCACCCCGTTCAGCCCTAAGCTTACAGCGCTGTGGAGGCTACATGCTCCTTGGGCCAGCCACACGCTCGTCACCCCACGGGTACTTTGAACGGCTCGGTTGTAACGCGCTGACGCTATTGACACCACCACAACGCTGACAACGCCGCCAAGGGCAAAGCTCATAACCACGCCAGCCTTGCTACGTCACGAATGCGGGGAATCTCTTTTCTGTTTTTGTTTGCGCCGGATATCCCATGACGCATCGCGCCCTCCGTTCACTTCTCTTCGAGCACTTGCTCAAGTGCACCGTTTGGAACGAAAACTATAGCCAGTCGTTCAAAATGCGAACGCCATTTTTCCCGCATGAAAAAAACTCGAGGAGGTTAGAGACCTTGAGGACTCGGAGAGGCTTCTCTGGATTGTTGACGTCCAGATAGTTGATGAAACCAGACAGCGAGACTGACAACAAGTGGCTGCCTTGCCAGAGGCAGCTCACTTGCTGATCCAGAATATCTGTCCCCATCACGAACTCCCTGGAAGCAGAAGAGAAAGCAACGGTGGAAATCAAGGACAATGTTTCACGCAGACTTCTGCTAACTCTCTTAACACGAAAGGGACGCTAACAAAGCATTTTTATGAAATTTATGCTGAAACACGACCTATCAGGACCCAAATATAAGAAAAAACAATTTCTGGTTCAAAATTTGTTAGTTTTTTCTGAGTGACAGTGAATCTGCTCTCACTCGTTTTAATGATAAGACACGACAACGACATAGAGCGCAAAATGTTTTCTAAGTTTTAGGCCACACAAGGCACATATTCTTAAATTAAGAGGGCATAGCACCTCCAAGCGCCATAAAGAATACATGTAGATTTTTGACGTTTTCTAAAAATTCCTACATGAGAACCGCTCTTTGTATTTGCTTGAAACTTTTACGATAAAGAGATTAATACAAATGGCCAATTCGTCTGGGCCCGCACCGCACCCGTCCAGTGCAGTAAACTCTTTCCACTTTAGTACATGAAAGACTGGCGGGGAGAAAAGGAAGCTCCCCTCTCCCCTCTAGCCTTCCGTGTACCACGAACCGCACTGCACCGGTGCAATGCGGGCCCAGACGAATTGGCCATTAATTGTTTCATTGGCGCAGATCATACCTCTCAGTATTTAGTACAAATATATATTTTTAAACCGTGAAATCGACTCAAAACGGGAGTTTTGACACTTTTGGGTTTAATGACGTTTTACATAATCTACCAATTTTTAGAAAACAGTTGTGTTCGTGCAAGTGCCTCTAAAATTTAATAAGGAATCGATTGGTATCAAAATAATTAGTGTAGGTTAATCCGTTTCGGAACTACAGCGATATTTCCGAAAACGAGTTTCTTTCGGAAAAGAAAACAAACAAAATTTGTGTGTTTTGCATTTTGTTCTTCTCCCGCTAGATGGCGGTCTCTGTCCGTAGTTTGTGTAGTTCGGTGCACATATTTTTTTCTATTCATACGCGATCTTTCGTTCGAGCGACAGCGAACGCGGTTCAGTTCAACGCTGCGGCGCTTGGTGCGTTTGAATTTTTGCCGTTCGGAAGTGTTGCGTTTTGCCTCTGGCGTCATGGGTCGAAAGCAGGCTTCCTACGGCAAGCGAAAGAAGTCCCTGATTGAGAATATTCGTAAGCGACAGTGTGTGGAAGCTTCGCACGTTGAGGTTCCTGGTGAGATCGAGCCATCGTGTTCTAGCCCGGATGGTTTTGTTAGCGAGAGGAGCGAAGGTGGTCCTCAAGCCGAGACCATGCGAGGCTCGCCGTAAGGTGTTCTGCGGCCGTGTTCCGCGCCCGTATCCTGTTTCATTGTGCACGTTGAGGCGTCAGTGTGCGTGTCTCGCTTTCCTGGTTCTCGGTGGATAGGTCTCCGTGTTTTCGCTCGTGGTAAATTCGCCTTGGAGCTATGGGTCGAAGACAACAGTCCTGTAACAAGCGGACCGCGAGGTGTTCCACAACCTCGCGGCTCGTCAATGCGTTGTGCTTGTTTGTACTTTTCTTTCTTTTATTTATTTATTTTTTTTAAGCAAAGTTTTATTTTATTGTTATCTTTCACACAAAGTCCTTCGGTTTTGGGGTCGTGGAAGTCGGGGATGAAGCGTGCACGGAGTAGATCGTTATTTGCCTCCTTTATATTTTTCATGGACGTCCTGTGACCTCCGTACGGTTCGTGGTCACTGCAATCTAACGCGGGGAAAAACGGGTCGCCTGCTCCGTAGTCAGGGTATTCCAAGGGGAGGGTGATAACTCGCTGTTCTTCTGGAAATTCAAGTATTTCCCAAAAAGGTGACATGGGTAATGATTAGGGTATGCTTTTCCGGTGTTTATTTTTGAGCAAAAATCGGTGCATGTTTTTCGGTGCTTATTTTTTTAAACAACAGTGTATTATGGTTGAACGTCTCGTGATGACGCTAAAAAGCGTTGATAGCCGAGAAAGAAAAATGCGATTGGATAAGAACATTTCAAATTTCCAGTTCTATCCACATATCTCATACGCTCTTCTCGTGGGAGCATCTATCCCGACGAAAAATGCCTAAGTCATTGAGCTGTGAATGCATAATCAGTGTACAATATTTTGGCCTAGAGAGCTATTACACACGCTCGAACGTGCTTCACAGCCCAGTAGACGAAGTTGGTGGCACCCAGAAGGCGAGTTTTTGAATGGTCTGTAGTAAGCAAAAGAAACAAATAACAATCAACGCATCTCAGTTCCCCAAGCGAAGAGGCACGTTTCTAAGGTCAGTGGTTCCGGGCGACACTAATGTTGTTGGCGTTGTCTTCCAAGAACCACACCGACCTATGAATAGGCACTGGAAGGATAGAGGATTGACGAGATAAAATGTTCCACAAACTTCTACAGAGGAGGCGTTTCGAAGAAACTAGCCGTCGCTAGGGCGGGAACAGTCACCGACTGGTGTGTTTTCGTTTTACCCAGGCCGAATAGAGTATTTCGAATCGCCTGAGTTTTTCGGTTGTAACCTATTTAGTATTTTCGTCACCGGCGGATGTTTATCAACTCGGAATAATAAAGTTTGTCCTGAAAATTATGCGTTTTTTTTTTTTCTTGGTGAATAGAGGCGATTTGTTGAATTCAAAACTTCGCATTATCAAAATAACAAACATCGAAACGCTGAACACCGGATAATGAAGTTGCTAAAAGGCCAAAGCGCCAGAAGGCAACCCTGAACTGCAACAGTATTTATTTACTTCGAAACATATTTTTGCAAGGCAAGCTGGACGAGGGCAAGAAAGAAGGGAGAATGAAAGGGCCGGGAAGGGAAAGGTAGTTCGGAAGAATAGAGTGAGGAGAATAGGGAATTTCAGCAGATCGTTTCTGCAACCCGCTAAGCGCCAGTTTAGATCTGCGTCATCCGCCACGAGACCTTGAACTATGCAGTAAAGACTGGAGGCGTGCATGCTCAGTTGGGATGCGTTCTTTGGGGATACCGATACGGAGGAGAAAAACGGCCTGCTAAATCTCGCCATCTCCAAAGCTGACTGGTAACGTCACACAGAGGAAACGGCGGCCAAACGTTCTGGGCGTTGAAAATCAACCTCTTTTCGAGATACGCTCATGAAGGTGGTGCATATGTTATGTTTGCAGCGACGCACAGCAAACGCCTCCACGATCGCGATTCCTTTCAAACTCTGGCCCACGCAAATGATAATCTACAACGCGGTCAAAAGCGATGTTGTGGGCACCCCGATAAGTCGTTTTTGTTCGCACTGCGAATTATCGGTTTCCCGAAATTAGCACAAAGAAGTTCAAAGTGGGGAGTTTCTGTGTGCCTAACAGAAAACGAAGCACCCTCAACATTCCATAGCTTCGCTTAGTAAAGTGGCCTATTAATCCTTGGGGTCACGTGCCTAGTTGTTCTGAAAACGGGGAGAAAAAAAAAAAGAAGGAACTCTTGAACGTTTTTGTTTAGACTTGAGTGACACACCCAACCTCTTTCGTAACAAGAGTCGTAAGAAAATTTCTACCTCTTTTATATATGTGGCCTCATAGGACCGCCGACCTCGTCAAATAACCGCAGCGAAGCACAAGGAACCGCTCTCTTGCGGCAACACAAAAATATTCCATAATATAATTTGTACATTCGTTACTTTCACAACACCATGGTACCTCGTATTTTATCCTTTCCTCGTTCATATTTCTTTCTGCGCGTTATGGTTGTTATGGCGATAGGTGCGACTTCACTCTCGATTTTGAACGTTAGCTGAGAGCAGAGACCCAAAAATTGGGTGGGTAATGACTTAGGATATTGCAGTGCGTCCCGAGATTTATGTTTTTATATAGTAAATAGATTTGTTCTGTGGAGTTAGCAACCCACCGCAGTTCTCCAGCCGTGATGCATTTGAAAGGCTGCCATGCAGTGAGGGAAAAATGTGACTTCGGTTACCACGTCTAGTTCGAGGTCAGCGGGGCAGACAGCAGCGGAGAGTGGGGAATTCAATGCGGATACTGACATCGTCGGTTCCGAAATACAGAACGAGGCGAAGCGCGCTCGCTTTGCATCTACGCTTTGCCTTTGTTCAACTGTTCGTCAGCGCGAGTTGTTTCTGATACAATGACTTTCACCGGTTGTTTCTGCGGAAATAAAGCAACAGGACACTAAATATTGTCATTGCAAATGACGTTTTACCAGCTTTTGCGTTTATGACAGAGAAAACTTGCTATTTTGTCTCACCGGGACCGACGATGTCTGCTTCCGTGTATTGCCATTTCGAGGCAACTGCAAAGCATAAAAATATGCTGGGCCTTTTCCTCTATATTATTTTATGATCTCTATGGGGGGGGGGGGGGGGGGGGGGGTTAGATGTAGACCACCGCGACGCTCGTAAGAGCCATCAATGCAAAGTCTTCGTTTTCTCTCCCGCCCGGCTCTGTAAAACCACTGAGCTCGTCAAATACCACAAACAAAGTGGGAGCATCAGTTCTGAAAAAGCTCCTTCAATAGATGGAGAAGCTTTATCTATGTTATATTATTTTCAACCGCATATAAACGCGACGTTCAACTTGTAAAACGTCCAAAAGTGAAAAATGTATGATGGCATCCGTCGTATATTCATTACTTCCTAACATCGTGGCACCTCGTATCCTAATCTTTCCTCGTTCACGTTTCTTTTCACATTACGGTTGTTACATCGTCAAATAAAAAAAGACACAACAGTTATTTAATTATTTGCACGAAGCAAGTAATCTAAAGACCGTACAGTCTGAGGTTTCAGTCCACCTAAGCTTACGAGTCCACCATGTCATGTGTTGAAACAAATAAGTCATTTCTAAAATGATTAGAATAGAAAGTGAGTCTAACACGGGTATCTCCCAGCTAACGTTTGCACCCCTTCAATACGATTTCTCAATAAAACGCCACTGTGCCACTTGGACACACTTTGGGGACCAACACATGTTTACGTCGCTGCCCGAAATCTTGAGTCAGCGTGTAGTGCTGCACCACAATAAAATGCAAAACAAACTCTATAGGCTGGTTCAC